CTCTCTCTCTCTCTCCCCCCTCTGTCCTGTTCTGTCATTCTGATTATCAGTCCTCTTATCCCTCTCTGTGCTGTCAGGACACTATCTCTCTCTTTCTCAAATTAACATTTTAATTACAGGCCCTGCTTAACCCGAGAAAATCAATACCTCTTTCCGCCTTTCCTCTCTCGCTTTCTCTCTCCCTCTCTCCCTCTCTCACCCTCAAACCCCCTTAACCCCTTTTTTCTCTCTCTTTCTCTAACAACCCCCCTCACACACTCACACACACATGCACATACACATACAACTATACACATTTCCTCCCATTGATCTGTGCGTCTTAACATCCACAACATCCAGACAAACCTCTGCCATTTGGTAGTTTGAAAAGAGCCTATTGAGTCTGTATTTCACCATCCGACAGAGAGAGAAGGGATCATAGAGGGAGGAGAAGGTGAGCTGAGGTAGAGTAAGGCCTTACTTTGAGAATTGAACTGTGCTAAAATGATCATGACTGCATCGTGCGAGACAAACATTTCACCATCCTGAGCCTTTTACATTGACTATTATGAAATGATGTAATGTAAAACATGTGGACAACCAGTATTCTACCAGGCCATATTATTTTCATCAACGATTAATCTACAGATACTCAATAATCAATTAAGCTTTGGTCTATAAAATGTCAATGAAAAATGCCCTTTATGGTATCTTAGAGCACAAGGAGATATAATTAAATGTCTTATTTAATCCAACCATCAGCCCAAAACCTTCAAATATTTAAATTACTATAATTTAATACCAGGAAAAGCAGCAAATCTTACATTTGAGAACCTGCAACCATTAAATGTTTGGCATTTTTGCTTAAAAAATGACACCTTAATCAATCATCAGAATAGTTCATCATTCATTTTCTTTCCGTTAAAAGAAATCAGTTTACTGACTAATCATTGCAGCTCTACACGAGTCCCCCAAACGCAACTCATACCCCTTATTTATTTTCAGTTATGTTTTCACTTAAACCTTATTTCTGAACTTCTGAAAAGATATATATGGGGTTTTAAAGCCTTCACCACACTGCCACTAATAAACTCTGGGGAAGAAATGATTCAAGCTGCAGCTGCTAATCAATATTTTTATATTGATAATGGGTTAAGTGACCACATGTAACGTACAAGGTGTCGCTCATAGTGAGGAACCCACAGAGACCAACTCTTCAGTTCCCCTCAGCTCAGCGGGCCGTTTAGCTCATTGATTTGCTTTTTGTTTGGTTCACACTCACTATCAGCCCTGCTTAGCTGTTTAGCTGTTTGCTAACACTTTCCTTTAACTTTATTTTTATAATTATTTTATAAGTTGTTGTCACTGCCCCCATGTGGCCAAAAAAAACCCAGAATTTATTGTTTTGTTGGTCTAGAGGCACATCTAAAATGATCTAAAACGCCCTTTGAATTCAATTATATTTCTTCTCAAATTCTGTTTAAATTGACCAATTTGTATGTCATTATTATAAGTATTGTGAGGCATGAACTCTACTCTATTAACTATCTCTATTAACCATTATCAAAATTGTTGTTAATTACAATTTAATCTATCAGATAATTGGCTGGCTTTGCTAACTTTCAGCAGTGAAACATTGGTGTTTGTTTTGTTTATTACATCCATCTGAGACACACTTCTCTGTGACAGAGCACCGTCTTGAGTAGAATGTCTTATTTGGTGCAGACAGCAACAAAAGCTTTAGCAAATGAGTCCTTTTGGAATCTAACCTTACATAGTAAATTACCATCTGACCATGAATTCCATGAACTCCTTTGTGAGTTTGTCAGACTGGTGCCAGTAGATCTCTGGTACAGACCGGTTTATTACAAGCTTGTATTGAACACATAGATTCTAACAGACTTTCTGTTGTTTGTTTCTTCTGCATTGTTATACTTCCACAGCTTGCAGCACTAGTGTTTAGACAGAAATTGTCTGGTTTGTCTTTTTTCTGCATTTAAATTGTGTTGTAATTAAAGCCAGAAGAAGAGTCACACTGTACGGGGCCGATCATTTGCGTAGCGTACCGTGGCGGTGACTGGATCTCTGAAGCATCCAGGTCAGCCCTAATAATGTGTGGGATCAGCATGTCGGCAGCGCTCAGCTTACTGCTTTCCTCTGATCTCACCTGCAGTGTGTGTGCACGGGTGTGTGTGCTGAAGACCTGCTCCGTCCCCAGAGACCCTGGTTGACCCAGTGTTTGACCACACACACACACACACGGCTGACATAACTTATCTGGGATGTTTGAGTGCACATTGCTGCAGATCTGTCTTCATTGCTGTTGGCACTGTTTACAAATGGGTCAACCTGACAGCATGCCAAAACAGTATATCTAATGATGATCTACACATGTGTGGATTAGATGAGACATATGTTTCAACAACAGGTCTTGACTTCCTCTCGTCTCTGTTTGCAGGTTTGGATCCAACTCCTTCCACCTCAACAGCACCACTCCCAAATAAACCTCCTGCTAAAAGACCTGCAGCTCCACCCCCTCTGTCCTCCACCTCCTCCCCCCCGTCCTCCTCCAGGCGGCTAAAGCGACTCACAGAGGAGGAGCAGGATCCAACATGTGCAGCCGCTACGCTGCGCCTCCTCAGACAGAACCTCCCTCCGCCTGCAGAACCCAGGTCCACCTGCTATCACTGCACCTTCTCTGACTGTCACACACTTATTAGATCCATCTTAATGATTTGGACACTAAGGAAGTTCAGCCACTGTCGGATCATACATTTTAATTTTTTACAGAACAGTGCTCATACAGCTTCTCCTGAAGTTTGCTTTTGAACAATTAAAGGGCCTCATTCCAACTTTTAATTTAAGCTTTAAAGTCCTCTTTCTTTTAATCTAGTATACAACAAGGCTTTCTGTCAAATGTGACAGTTGAACACAAACTCTAAGTTGAATTGGTTTGTGCATGAAGCTTTAACTCTCCCTCCACTTGTTTCTCCTCCAGCAGCAGCTCCTCAGGTCCCAGTTCAGACCAGTCCAGTTCAGACCAGAAGGCTGCTGATGCTCCTGTGGTTCCATTTGGTTTAGACCTGTACTACTGGGGCCAGGAGCAGCCCAACGCTGGCAAGATCATCAAGTGAGGCACCGCACACACACACAGGCAAACATGCAATCTGGAAAACATGGACGTTCCCAGAAACGGATTAAAATGGAAAGAAAATATTCGACGTTGTGCTGGAACGATTTATTGTATTTTAGCCCGAATTCAAATCTGTCATGGTATTCCTGGTTGTGTTTTGTGGCTTTATTTAAATGTCTGAATGAATATCAGTGTCAGTGTTTCATGCATGTGGAAATAAGCTACAATCAAAGACCCACTACATTTGCAGTTTGAGCCCTCGTAAAATATGATATGATGGATTTACATATAATTCCACATAGAAATCAAAGATGTGTGTTTTTGATATGTTGCTTTTTTTCCTGGTGCAGGTCTGCCTCTCAGCATCAGTTCTGGGTTCACGCCGAGGTGGAGGAGGAGGTGGAGAACAAGGAGCTCCTGGCAGAGAGCAGGAGCAGATACATCTCCTTTCCTGGGAGCTTCACTCCTGTCAGCCATCACTGCAGAGCTCCACTGGGCAACGGAAACCTGTGTCAGAGGCAGGACCGCCACAAGGTAACAGCACAAAGTGATTCCAGAGACATCTCTGTCTGTGTCTGTGTCCCATACTGTTAATGCGTGTGTGTGTGTGTGTGTGTGTGTGTCCTCCAGTGTCCATTCCATGGCCGGATCGTTCCTCGAGACCAGGAGGGTCGACCCTGCAGGCGGGAGGACCGACTGAGGGAGGAGCAGGAGGAGAGGAGGAAGAGGGAGGAGCAGCCTGGTGAGGAGTGACACATACACACACTGACACACACACACTGACCATTCCTGAGTTCTCCAAAACACAAATCCCCCTCAATCCATTAAAACACAAACACAGAGGACTGCAATAGAAAGGTGTCACAGTAGCGCTGAATCCACACATACTGATAAATATGCTGGCGAGGCTCTATGGTGGCCAGTGTGTGCAAACACAAGGGGAACAGGTTAGAGCTCCGGGAACACTGTCAGTTCAGAAATCTGCTGCAAAAGTTGTACAGCAGCAAATATATCAGCAGGAAATACTGATGCCAACTACACCTACACATGCAAGTGTAACAAGGCTTTTATTGTATTGTATTTATCAAAGGCAAACTCAGTAGGGAAAGATAGGACTGGCAGAAGCAGTTAAACCCCGCCCATAGGTCATAGTTTGTTTAAGGACACTGAGTGGATCGAACCACTGTGGTTGGGTTCAAACCAGCTTGAAGTCTGGCAAGATGGATTGTCACGTGATCTTTTGGTCTCTGGAGTCCAGCTGCCTCACCAGGTTACCACTGTTAGCCATCGCTGTTTTCACATCAGTGTAACTTGGTGTGGAGGTGTCGCTGCTCCAGTGATTTTGGTGGTGTTTGCTGCTGGTTTAAATGCTGGGAGAAACTGGCTCTGATGGATACATTAGGTTTGAGGATACATTTTTCTTTTCATGCACAAATAATAACTTCCATCACAGCTCAGTGTGCTGCCCAGTTACCGGACTGAGTGGAGAGAGCCAACAATAAACAGTTTGTAAGGGAAAATAACACTTACTAGTCTGTCCTACACATTATCATTGTCTCAGTGTGTGTGTGAGTGAGAGAG